TATCACAAAATGAAACTTTTGAAAGGCTGTTTGACACAGTTTCAATGAAAAGTTCATTGTGCAATTGATTAAACCTCAGCAGGTTATTTATTCACATTTAAAGTAGACCTTTGCAATACTGATGATCGCAGCGCGCGGCGAAAGTCCAGTGGGGAGGATGACCTAAGCGGGGACTTGTCACACACCCACTACTCCGCAAACCGACAGCCAAATTCAAGTCTACGGTTCAACTCGTAGAACATGGCACATCTCGCAACACGTGGGAATAAGAAAAAAAAACGCCAGGGCGACTAGTCCACTTCTCAAGAAGTGCAAAAACTCCGCTGATAAGGACGTGGTTCACTCACCACAAACTCCTTCTCCCTACGCCTAGGCGAAGACCACCATTTCCAGTAGTAAATGCCTCCAGTTGAGAACAAAATTAAGGAAACGGCGCAGGTAAGGCGGACATAATACAAGGTGGTTTTCTCGTCACTCATGCGTCATGAGAGGTCGAGCGATGTCTCGGTATGTTCTGACGCATAATGTCAATGTACTGAGCTGTATACACATACTGGCCAAGCGCTCTCTGCACCACTGCAACAGGTAGAGTAGGTGCGGTAGTCATGGAGTTTGGGTATACCAGTTTGCGTCTCCAACGATGGCCTTTCAGATTTTACTTCACGCTGCTGGAAAACCAAAAAGACCAGAAAGATATGGAAAACGTGGTAACAAAATGTTTTTTTTCTAACGAAATCTCTTTTGAAAAAGTTTCTGATCATACAGAAGGTTCAGACGAAGATCACCACGTGAAAGTTAACATTGCATGCACATTTTTGTCATAATAGAGATTCGAATGACAAAACTATTTTTCATCTTGCTTGGCATTTTGAAAAGCGGACCTGGGCACCTTCGGGCCCACGTCCGCTTTCCAAAATTGGCCTATGCATAATCCCGTACAACATGAAAAAGCGCTCCATGAGTTGAAAGAGCCCTTTGTTAGGTACAAGACAGGGGTCGAACGACAACGAGGCAAGTAAGACTTCAAATATTACGCACTTAGCCCTACACTGTGTGAAATTCAACCTACGCGTAAAATTATTGAACGGGTTGTGACCGTTGCAGAAAATGAAGCACATTCGCTCGCAAATGAAATATTATATGAGCACAAGAAAACGTACCTTATAGAACTTCTCTAGCTGGTAAAGGTGGTTACAGGTTATCATTTGATTTGTCGTATAGCTTCTGAGCAAATATCGCAAATAACGAAGTGCTTTCCGCAGACGATCTACGGGAGGTAGCTGAAATATGTAAGCATCACCAGTAATACAGTCTGCAAACATCATCTGTCAAGTGGCAAAAAATATCCGTAGCACAAAAGTAGTGTTCGCAGCTTGTGATCACGGAGATCGGGAGATAGGTGATAAAGAGTGAATGCGTCACGTTCAATGGCAGCAAGTAAGTTGTGAGTGCGCAGCCGCACAAACTTAACCTTTTTCGGCAATAACTGGAAGGTCGTAGACTACGACTATAAGGATATATTATGCACTACAAGGATATCTCCGCCGCTTATCAATATTTTTGGGAGACGGTACACACCTACTGAATGTGATGTGGCGCATACGACTTGCGGTCTGAGGCGATGTACAAGTCAATGTTTTTTTTCCTCGCAGACAAGTCTAGCACTCATTTGCCATTCTCGGGGAGAAGAAAGCTTTTACTTTTCGAGAACGGTAATGTCTGAGCGTGAGCCCGTCCCTGATTCGAGCCCCAGACCCCTGGTCAGCTAGCCATTTGCTACTACACCACCTCTGCCTTCACAACGAAACAAGGAAGAAGCCAAGCAGAAACGGGAAAGCAAAAGAGCCTAGGCACCTTCGCTTGGTTAATTTTTGAAATTTAGAGTCAGGAGACCAAAACCCAGTCGTTGGGAGAAACCCTTTCCAAGATGACCGGAGTCGGAACTCACATCTGGCATTTTCCTTTTCTTTCCAGGAGGAGAACAAGCTGGCCCACTTATCTCAGTCTGTAGTAAATTCAGTCCTGAAAATTTATCAGATTAGTATCCAATTCCGTGTTACTGTCAGCGACCGGCTAAGCTGTTGCAATAGAGTGCTAACCCGAATTTATGATTTCAAAGATGTATTCTATCCGCCACTGTGCTGTTGCTTCCAAATACGGCTCCATCACGCTTTCATCTACGACTTTCTCGTTCAACAATGACAGCACAGATTGAGTGACACTATCCAAGGATGATGGAGGTAGCATACTTCCGATTAACATCGTAGTACCGATCAGCGATGTGTTCTTCACAAAACATTATTACTCAATTACTGCAAAATTACTAGGAAAACATTCGACTCACTCTAAAACATTGGAATAATTTCTTGAACACTTTAGTTTCTAGGTTGTCGAGTTTCTGTTTTTCGGTAGAATACTTTGTTTCCATGAGTGCCTAAATGATTCATAGTAAAGAAGCTACAATGGCTTACGAAAGTTTCAGATTACCTTTCTCATACTCATCCACATGACAACAACACATTCTAGAAACACTTGATTTCTTTTCCACACTTGGTTGTTTTCATCTGAATCATTGAATTATGACCAATGAATTAGGTATACACTTTCAAAAAAGAATTATAAATCGATATTTGGGACTATAGCCTTGTTGCTGCGGATGCTGGGGCGTGTCAGGGGATGGGTTCGGCGCGGCACCAGCCTGCTCTACACCAAGTGCTAAAGCAGGACACGCGACAATAATTGGTTCAGAACGGGCCGGCAACGCACCGAACCCAGCTCTTTCCTCATACGTTCTAGCATTCGCAGCGAACAAGACTTTACCGATTTCCCAATTTTGAAATCGAGTATGCGTCAGTTACAACTCCAGCGCACAGGGATATAATAGGGATAACGCAAGTGCATCAGAATGGTACAAATGTAGTTGTTGGCATGAGTAAAACTTAAATGTTCATTACAGAACAATCTAACATTAGCGCAAACGTGCTATAAAAAAACTCGCCATGTTGAAGAAGGAGCTGCCTTTATTCAGTTTAATTAGTGAATCCAGTAAACAAGTTGGCTCTTCCAAGAAACGCAGCGTTTTTTTTCCAAAAGAGGTTTTCACGTTGTAGCACACAACGTACAGTCCTCATCATTGCGGACCGGTGGGGCGTGTCAGTGCGGCTGCGTTTGGCGCGGTGCCAAAGTCGTTCTGCACCAGTTGTTGAAGCGGGCAAGTGACATTACTGTATTATATCCTTCGTTACTACTT